CACCCCCCATGCAGATACTAAATTGCAGATAGTTCAATTTAAATCCAATTTAAGTCTTAAATGAGAACTACATTTTCTCAATCCCATTATTTCCCTCCAGCTCCAATGTCCTCATAAACCGAGGCATCCTTACTATCTCTTTGGTAGATTACTGTAACGGCCGCCTAAACCGGTTTCTCTGCCTCTAGCCTTGCCACCTCTTACTCATTCTCCAGAATAGAGCACTAAAATAAATGCTTCAAAAACTCAAATCTGGTTAGATATTCTGCTGCTTACCTTTTCCACTAAATACAAACTGCCCCTGGAGCCTGTATGACCTCTCACCACCCTCCTCCCACCTACACACAATGCATGCTAGTCCTAATGAATTTCCTTCAAATGACCTTCCTCTCAAGACCTGGTTTATGCCAGCCCTTTTGCTTAAACCTTCCCTGGCTATCCCTCATTCATCTGTTAGGACTTACATTAACAGCACAGATTAACAGCACTTCTTAAGAAGACTTCTCTCCCCCCCAGATTGGTCAGACTCATCATACTTCCTTTTTAAGTACTTACTAGATGCTATTACTTATTTGTCTTTTCCTGCTCAGCTTTTAGCTCAGTGAGAACAAGAACCATCTTTATCTTGTTCTCTGCCTATGGCCAGTGCCTAGGCACACCGATGGAGACCCAGTAAACACGTCTATCAACTTTGAGTCTAAATCATTCATTAATTTACCAACAAAGTATGATGACTCTTTTCTAGAACACATGTTGATTATTTTTATTTTGAAGATGTCATTTTATTTTTTTTTATTATGTTCAGTTAGCCACTGAGTACGTCATTAGTTTTTGATGTAGTGTTCAATGATTCATTAGTTGCATGTAACACCCAGTGCTCATGACACATGCTGATTAGATCTTTCTTCCCTCAATACATTCCTTCCATTGAAAGGATATAGCATGACTGACCAGACTGCAACTTTGAACTTGATAAAATCTTACTTATCTGGAAACCTTGATTATAATTTCATTATGATTTGGTATTCATTCATTCAACAAATAATGACTAAGTACCACTTAGTTTGTAATGAATAAACAAGCAAATAATCAAATGCTAGGCACTAGGGGGAAATAAACATTGGAAGAAAGACTGAAAACCAAGACAGAGCCAATGGAGATTAAAGTCATAAACAAATAGTAACTATGAAATTGGTGTAAAAATCAAAAGTATAAACATGGCATTAAAGCAACAAAGAGGAGCATATAATTTGGCTTCTGTAGTTGAGAAAGGCCTTTTTAAGGAAGGTACAGTGTCTTAGAAGATAAGCCAAATGGAGGGAAAATCATTCTCAGCGAAAGAAATAGTGTGCAAAAGCAGTACGGAAGAGAATACTTCATATACAGACCGTAGAATTGTAGATGAGGACTCTGGAAATGTAGATGAGACTTTAAAGAAAAAGATCTTCACCGTCCAGGGTAAGAAGTTTGGGCTTTGCTCAGTAGGAATAAGAGAAACTTTTAATATTAAGCAGCAGCATAGCATAATCAAAGGAACACTTCAAAAAACACACTTTCCTAGCAGTGTGGCTACCTTAAAGGAGGCAAGACTATAGCAGAGAGATCAGTGAACAGTGCAAATAAAAAATAGAAGTGGGAATGCAGTGGCAGTGGGAAAAGAGATTAACGGGTAAAAGAGAATAAAGGGTAGGACTTGCAGAGGGACGAGTAGTAATCTCTGGCTGAGTGAGATTCTGTATTGTGTTCCTGATAGCAACTGGCACTTTGTAAAACAAACACGAAACCAACCACCTGAATTAGGTTTTAGAGAAGCTAATACATATTTCTTCACCCAAGCGGGGGATGAGAGAAATGGAAAGTGAGTCAGTAGTAATGTGCCTAAAAATGATTGATCAATCCTGGCACCATTTTAATTTGAATGAGTAGTTTTACATTTATAACAATCATTAACCAGTCCATATTTTATTTTAAAACTTTTTCATAAATATCCTAACAGAGATATATTCTTAGAGAATCTCAGAAGTTAGTGTCAGAGGCAGCAAAATAACTAAATAAGTAGAAACACGATCTATTGAGGACCCAGAAAGAAGGAACCTAGTCGGGGTAAATTTTACTGATATATCACAAAAGCGAAAAGCGGGACGATCCATCCATAGGGACGATCAAAAGACATTTAAAAAAACAGGTATAGAATAGTTCTAGTGCATATCCATTAGTGTCTTTCAGGATTTCAATACCAAAGAAATTGAAGAGCTATACCCAATGATTCCATAAATTGATTCCTATCCAAGTACACACCAACTTCAGTTAACTGAATGATTGGATCTACAAATTAGGACTTATTCCACAATATTTAGCTTTCCCATCTAAGTCCCACTGTTCAACCTTCTTGGGTAATTAATACTGATTTTCTGCTTTTTCTTACCAACTATCCATAATATAAAATTCAAATAATTTATACATTTGGGATACTTAAGTCCTCTGTTCTATATTTTAAAATGTTGAGTTGAACATTTTGCATTTAAAACACTTTTAAAAAAAATCAAATTACAATATTCTGAGTGATTTAGTTGGCTTCAGAGAGAAAAATAAGGCATTCATAATATATAGCACCCATTCCTACAACTATTAACTATAATACAAATTATGAAATTGATATAAATTTTCACGACCACCACCCCCAAAAAAATGTTCTCAGTGTTGCTACTGTTGTCAGTACTGGTTTTCCAGCTTCCTTCTCTCTGTGAATAGTATTAAGAAACCTGCCATTTTCACTAGAAACATTAAAACTCAAGTGACACAACAATTAAAGTTTTAATTTTGTAGTTTAAAGTTTCACACTACTCCACCTCTTCATCCCTCTACAACTTTCAGTTTGAAAGAAAGAGGAGAGATGAACCTTGGGATTGTTAAAAAGTAAAAATTAAACGTATAATGTTGTTACTTGAGCTCCAAAAGTGTTGTTGTTTGTAAAATTGACAAGGTCCTTTAATTTTTAATGCTTCCCCAAGTGCCTGTCAATTATATAAAGCTGTGCATAACGAATGGTATAAAATGCTGTTCCAAAGTCTTTAAGTTTTATTTTTTAGTGAATATATTTATTCCATGTACATTATGTTAAAAATGCTAGAATAAAAAAAAAGAGAGAGCTACTTTTTCCAACTTATTAATCCTTATCTTTATCTAGGATTTTTGCATTGTTGATGTTACTTTTCTTTAATCTGTTCTAATATTTTACTTTATACGTTCTTTATAGCGTTCCTACAGAATCTTTATCCAGACCTATTCACAAAGTATAGTACAGATAGGGCAGCACAAGCTGCAGATGCCTTTGTTGGTAGTATAATAAAGAACTTTTATCCAGGTTATGGGAGAATTAAGGGGATGATGGAGTTAGTGCAAATTCCAATTAATTAAGGGTTTAAAAACAAATTATTTAGCTTCAAATAATCTCTCCAGGATTTCCCTCTCTCACTTTCTCAAGACCCTCAAGTTAATCAAAAGGGGTTTTAAGGTACAAGCTACTTACCAAATTATCTGAGAGAAAACTTTTCTACTATTTCTAAGAGTTAAGAAATAATTTGGCTCTTTCTTTAATAAAATCAAAATAGCTTTGTTTTCTGCAAAGATTATGTTGTCAGGGTAGTATATTCTTTGTAAGTGTAAATGTATAATATTATGAGTTGATTTACGCTTGTTTTAAGTTGTTACATAAACATATTTAAAAAATTCCAAATTTCCACTTAATATAACTTTTACTATATTTTCAATAGCTACTTATATTTTGCATGCTATATGTAAATTAGGATTGAAGAAGTTTCAAATCATCTAATTGTATGTATAGTTGACCCTTGAACAACACAGGTGTTGAGGAGCCTACTGTCTATGCAGTCAAATCTGCATATAACTTTGGACTCCCCAAAAACTTAACTACTAATAGCCTACTGTTGACCAGAATCCTTTCCGATGACATAAAGTTGATGTAACACATTTTTTAATTGTATGTACCACATACTCTTTTATTTTTTTTAAGATTTTATTTATTTGAAAGAGAGAAAGAGCATGAGCAGGGGGTAGGAGGCAGAGGGAGAAGCAGCAGAGCCCCCACTGAGCAGGGAGCCCCATGTGGGCCTCCATGTGGGCCTCGATCCCAGGACCCCAGGATTATGACCTGAGTTGAAGCAGATGTTTAACTGACTGAGCCACCCAGGCGCCGCATACATAGTATTCTTACAACAAAGTAAGCTAGAGAAAAGAAAATGTTATTAATAAAATCATAAGGAAGAGGGAAGCTGGGTGGCTCAGTCATTTAAGTGTCTGCCTTCGGCTCAGGTCATGGTCCCAGGGTCCTGAGATCAAGTCTTACATTGGCTTCCTGCTCAGCAGGGAGTTTGCTTCTCCCTCTCACTCTCTCAGTGCTCTCTCTCTCAAATCTTAAAAAAAAAAAAAAAAGAATCATAAGGAAGAGAAAATACATTTGCAGTACTGTGCTGTAAAAAAATCCATGTACAAGTGGACCTGCACAGTTCTGGGCCATTCACACCTGTGTTGTACAAGGGTCAACTGCATACGTATGCTATATAAAACACAGAGAGGGAGGGAAGAAAGACACAAAGAGAAAAAGCAGACTTACTTTTTCTTCTGTGTTGTACAAGAAAACCTGAAAAATGTTTCTTTTCTTAAATTGAAAATATAAAGTAAGTTTTATGGGAAATCACTTGTTTTAATAAAAGGTAAAATACTGGTATATGAACCACAAGGTGGTGCTATAATTCCATGCTGGTACAGATACTCTAGAAATTAACAGATTTTTCTTTTATAACTGTTAATATCTTTTTATATTTTTTATAATGAAAAAAAACCTAAGTGGGTTCATTAATTCTAGAAATATTTACTGAAATTCTACTAAATTTAAGCTTGTATGCTAACTTTAAAAATTCATAAATTTTAAAGTCTAATGAGTAAACGTGTTACAATACTAAAAATGCCTTATTTCTACACAGAATTTAACATCAACTTTTAATGTTAGTTTCATGTGACAATATCAAATTACACACAGAATATAAACAGATAATAAAATACAATCAGATGATCTAAATAATAATAAAAAAGAAAAAAAACCTTTTTTCCTTCCAAATAATGGAATCAATTCTCTTAAAGATTACCCAGGGTTATTATTATATTTTTCATGTATAAAGTTAAAAAAAGATCATTTGTCTAGTAACATATCTAGTAATTTAAAGTGAATTTCATTTTTCTCTTGATTTAACTTCATCTAAGACCTTTCTCTCTCTAGAAAAATATGTAACTTCCCATCACTTAAAAGAAAACAAAAACCATACTGTGTATCTTGTAATATTGGATGGCCACCATCTGTGTCTGTGCTGCTGGTCTTAAAATGTGTTATGGAATAGAGCACTAAAATACTCAACACATTTTTCATGGTGAACTTTCTGACCTGTTGCTAAATACAAAAAGAAAATCATACCCTCACTCTTTTCAGTGTTAACTAAAAATGTATTACTCCTTTCTTATTAAACATAAAATTGTATTTTTATTTAATTTTCAATGAGCATTTCTGCCTTTTCATTACAACATATTAGTCAGTACAGATGGCAAGATGGTGTGCATGAGAGCCTCCTGGGTACAATACACAAGTCCCAGTTGGAATGTTTCCAACAGGATGTAAACCATGGTCCACAAGTCTGTACTTTAAAAAACATATTACTTAGCACACTGCCAACAAATGTCAACACAAAAATACAGTGCTGTAATGACTTCACTCTGTAAAAGAAATGTACTGGCACATAAGTTTTCCTTAAAAAAGTAAAACAGAGTAAAGAAGTGTAATCATAGCATAAAAATAAGTATTTATTCAATATTGAAAAAACTCATATACCAAATGGAATTCAAATTCTTCATAAAAATATTGCAGTATATTAAAATTTATAGAGAATTCTTAAAATATACAACATGTACAGTAGCCAAAGGCCTAGAGAAGTTCACGCAGAAAATTCTATAACTGGTGATTTGGACATTTCAGTAACTCTGCGGTTTCTTCAAACCTGCAATACAACAAATAATATTAAGTAAAAAAAAAAAGTTCATAATGAGGCATAGGATTTAAATGGCTGAAATTATGTTTTTGAACCTAAAATAAATTTCAGTATTTTTCTTATCTATAGGTATAAATAATAACTTAAGTAGATACTATGGCCAGAGGGGAGAAATAGCAACCAAAGTCAATTATGAGTCTTTAATTCTTAGAGTGTAAGTTATTTTAATAACTATGAAATTTCAAAACAATATAGTTCATTAAAGTAGTAGCCTGCATATTACTTACGCAAGTTCATTTCATATTTCCTTTTCATTGCTCTTTAATCATTTGTCGTTTCACATTTGTACAAGATACAAGTATCATTTTTAGCAGTGCTTTACCAATAACTGTCTGAAAGACTGGCAATATTTTAATAATACTTAAAATGTCTCCAAACCATCCACCGACATAAATTATTTTCCTAAATCAGTAATCAAAAGTAGATAATACTCTTGATTAACTTTCAACCAAAAATATCTCTGCACTGTTTAATCCCACAATTAATTCCATTAACAATGTTTTACATCACTTGTTGGAAACCAAAACAGTGACTCATCTCACAAACACTTAACTGTAGGTGGATTTATTATCCACTAGAGTCCTGAAGGAAATTCCACACCTGATTGAGAGACCTTTAAGGTTTAAAACACATATGCACTTTCTATATATACTGTAATCCAATACAATTCCCTATAGAGAAATGAATTTCTGTTGCCCCTTTCTGTTACTTACATTTTTTTCATCCTTTCCATTTTCTGGATTGTTGTTTCCTTTAATTTAAAAAGCAACAAATTTAGGTGATTTCTCAAAGTAAACCATCATCAAAGATGGACCTTGAACATGTAAAACACACTCTAAAACACTGCATTAAGTACTATTTACTTATCATAAAGAATTTTTACGAGAGATTAAGATTTATAGTTTTGCTATTTTTCTTCCCAATGGCATCTCCAACTAAATCTAATGCTTGCTTGTTCTCCTGACCTTAGAAAGGAAATCATCTAAACAGTTGCCAGTTTTTCTTACCTCTGAATTCTCTTTCAAACCACAGTAACTACCAGTTGAGGTTCTGGGAGTTGAATCTGATGACACTGTACTATAGCCAGAGGATAGAGGAATACTTGTTTGCCTCTCATCTTTGCTTTTTCTGTCTGTGGAGAAATTCATTTTTAGGTTATCTTCCTTTCACAGTGGAGTCATATCTAAAAATTTTATGTATAAATTGAAGAAAAACAGATATTTTACTATGAAATGGCTACAGGTATAGATCCAGATACATTTTTATTCTTTTAAGATAACGACCTAGACATAGAGATCTAGATGTTAAAAGTAGGCCAGTAAAAATGACAAAAGGTACTATTACCTTTATCACAGCAATCAATTGAATAAATAGACAAGTTCGTAAGTTTTAAGTATAAGCTACTGACTCAGGTATATTCCTTTCTTAAAGTGGTGGTAACTATTACTAACACTGACTATACTTTTTAAAAATCAAGAAACATTCTATCCTAAGTTAAAGTGTATGGAAAAAACAATGATTAAAATTCAGAGTTTACCGATTTCTTTTTTCCTAAAGAACTGAAAAAACTTCCAGTTCCAGTATGCTGATACCACTCATTCAACAAAATGATGGCAAGTTTTTCCTACAACTCAATCAATTATAAACATCACAGATAAAACATGCTGCTATTAAATCATGCCCTATCTAGTAATTAACAATTACTGAACTGTAATTGAACACAAAATTTCATAAAAAATGAACATCATATGAGGCCACTTCATTACCGTGATGAAACAAAATAAGACCACCGTCATGTATGAATATGGACAGGGACACCATGTAAGCAGTAAACACACAAATGACCAGCTCTCCCAACTAACATGAGTGCTTCTTCTTTTCCACTGAAAATTTCAGCCCCCTTTTCATTCTTATCGGTCATCAAACTGTTCCTGCTTCCTGATAGCACCCAAACTAGAAGAACCATCACTTCTTTAATAAACTGTCTCCAAAATCACCCAACATAATCCCAATCCTTACAATAAAAGCCTCTTCTCACTGATTTTTTACCAAGACACAGAGATGCCTTACAGGCCCCCATGGAAACACATTTCTGATAAAAGGAAAAGAAATCACGGACTTCACAAAAACCATTCCCAACTTAATACAATCCTAAAGTCAGGTTGGTGAATTACTGCTCTCAACTTCCAAGTGAGATCAAACTCTGCTTCCATGTAGCATGTATATGTAAGGTGCAAAGTGTAAGAATTTATATATAAACTTGACTCTTTTAATTGATCACAGTTGGATGATAAACTCTGAGACCAGACATTTACCTTGTTCATAATCTATAAACCCATTTCAGATGGTAGCCTGTCTGCTCATCAGTCTAAGTCCTAGCACAGTGGCTTGAACTTGTATATGTGTTAGCTAAATGGGTTAAAGGTATGATCTGTAATAATGTTAATAAAATTATAACCACGAAAATGCAAAAGCAAAGTTGGAAAAGGCAAGTTTTGTTTTGTTTTTTAAGATTTTATTTATTGTCAGAGAAAGAGAGAGAGCACAAGCAGGGAGAGCGGGAGCAAGAGAGAGAAGCAGGCTCCCTGCTGAGCAAGGAGCCCCATGCAAGATTTGATCCCAGGATCCTGGGATCATGACCTGAGCCAAAGGTAGATGCTTAACAGACTGAGCCACCCAGGCATCCCAGGAAAAGGCAAGGTTTTGCAAATAGCAGGCATTCAATATTCTTTCACTATATAAAAAATTGAGCTCCATTATATACAGATATTGGATAGAAATATAGGCCTAATTTCTGTCTGCTAGACAGAACACAAGGTAAGATCTTAATCTCAAGGATCTCAGAGTTAAGCTTTAGAATTTGTTGAATAAATGAATGAATGATAAATGCAAAGAGGAAACATTTTACCAATCTGAAATGTGTAGTCTAATAAATTTAGTGCCCGAACCACTATGTCATGTAAGATATGTAAGCTGGCTTTTTTAGCAATCCTAGGCTTCAGTACTCTGTAAGTTCAAAACTGTCTTTGTTTAGGGGTTCTGCAGTTTCTAAAAAATAAGGCTTTGGAATATTAAAATAGTCAAATACCTATATAAGTCATCATCCTGAAAACTCCTTATCATACCACCAATACCACTGCCATAATATTAGAACTTACCAGGATTCAGAATATCCATGTCATTACTAGATTCATAGTCTTCATTTGTTTCACTAAAGTCTATATATTCATTATTCTGGAAGAACGCAGATTAGTATTTAGAATAAAATGAAAAGAAAAATGTACTCGTTTTATATTCTTATTGTTAAGCATAAATATAAAGATGACATGATGAATGTTTAAACATTTTTAATTGAACCAGAAATTGAAATCCTAAGTAAATAAAAAAACAAATTTCTTAGATCTGACAAGGCCATGGCAAATTTGGTTAACCGTTTCTATGAAATCTATAATTTGATCAAAGTAAATGAGTGAAAACAGGAAGTCATGATTTTAATTTTTCCTGTCCATCTTTTCTTTTCCCTATAAAAATAGGCCATTTGTGTTATTAAAGAATATAACTTCAAGCTTCTCATAAAAATCAAACATTATCGGGCGCCTGAGTGGCTCAGTCAGTTGAGCGTCTGCCTTCAGCTCAGGTCATGATCCCAGGGTCCTGGGATCGGGTCCCGCATCGGGTTCAAGGCTCAGCAGGGAGTCTGCTTCTCCCTCTACCCTGCCCAGCCCTGATTTGTGTGTGCGTGTGCTCTCTCTCACAAAAATAAATAAATAAAACCTTAAAAAAAAAAATCAAACATTACCTTATTTTAAATGTTCAGAACTGTTCAAGTATTAACAGCTCTAAAAGCTGAACCTAGAGAGTTTTGCCAGGTTATCTTAGTTGATAAAGAGAAAAACAATAACCACAACAGCAATAAAATAGGCTGGACCTAAATAGGACCTCATTTCAACTAAACATTTTCCCACTACCTTAATATTATCTTAATTAGCTTTTCTAAAAGAATATACACTTAACAATGAATGAAAACTTGATTGTATCTGAGATATCCTATAAATGTTAAGGAAAGATAATACCTTTTTAGACAAAAGCATTTCTGTTTCAAGAAGAGTGACACGACTTAGAAGATTAGTCCACGTTTTTTCATTTACCATCACTCTTCCTTTCATTTTTTCTTCCAAAGAGTCTAATCTACTCTCTACCAAAGTCAGTTTCTGAAGCTTTTCTTGGCATTGAGCAAGCATAGTCTGTAGTGCAGTAATCTCAGGATTAATTTTAATATCCTAAAATGAATAGAGAGGTTAAAAATTATATTACACGAACTGAAATTCCTTTAAAACTCAATGTATCCCCATTTTCACTGCACTGTGTTATTTCAGTAGTTAACAACAGGCAGTATACCGTGAGAGTTGAGTGTGATTTGTAGAAGCAGAATGCCTGGACCCTAAAACTACCTCATCTGAGGTGTATGACCTTGGTGTCTCAATTTCCTTATTAAAATTCCTTATTAAAAAAACAAACAAAAAAACCCCCAAAAAACCCCAGTACCTACTTTATGTGGTTCTTATGAGAATTTGCATAAAGCTCTTAGAACAAGACCTGGTGGTAAGAGAAAACTGTCACTAACTTTTTTGTAATAGCCCCTAGCACAAAGCTAAGAGGGAGTGACAAAGAAATGACAGTGCATTGAGACTGTTCAGTTTGCTATAAAAAGAAAATAACCTTCATGACCACGTGGTAGTTTTTATAAGGGACAACTGTATACTGTGATGTACAGAAGTTACAAGAAACAGAAGAAAGACAGAAAATGTTTAGCAGGAGCAGTACAGACTAGACACTCTAATAGGGTCCATGGCAATAAAGTAAAAGAAAAAGTATTCTAAGAGTGAGAAAGGGATGGCAAGGGCCCAAAAAGGAAAATAAAATGGCAGGAATGTAGTTTTTCCATTCATTAATGAAGGGAATAGAGAGTAGAGAACCCTGACTGTACAAAGAAGTGTATCTCCATCTCTCACCAGACTGTAAATTCCCTGAAGCAAAGTACTATCTCTTATCCATCTTTTTCCTACCCATAACACCTGGCCCAGGACCCTAAACATAAGCAGCAAATAATATCCATTGAATCCTATACAGTACACCTATTTATTCTTAAATAATGGTAACAAAGGTATTGTATTATGATAAATAATTCAAAAGGCTAGAGACATTCCAAAGTTTAGATGCTGAAGTAATCATGTACATCAAAGAAATACTGGCATCTGTTAAAGAAGTCCAAAATTCTTACTTGTTGTTCAGACTTGATTTCAGGGAACTTTATTTCAGGAAGCTTTATTTCAGTCGTCTTTAAGTCACACACATCAAATGTTCCACTAACATCTGTTACGGTACTTATCGTATCTTCAGGAATGTTAACACCATCTTCATTATACAGGTGACGGATCACCACAGCTTTTTTCTGCATAGAGAGAAATATGTCAGAGCTGCTTAATGGTTTCCTCATATAACTATTTTAAACATAGACATAGTAACTTTGCAGAAGAAATATCCATCTTCCCTTTAAGATTTACCAAAGTTTAAATAACATATTAAGGTATATATCAAACACTATTGATTAAACTGTTATTACTATTACTAATATTTTCTGTGATGAAATTGTTGTTCTGATTTTTAAAGCATTCTTATGTACTAGAAAAACTGAAATACCTATGCAATGATGTCTGGGATTTGATTCCTATTGTTTCAGATTTGGGGGGAAAGATGCTAGAAAAGTGGTTACAATACAGATGAAACAAGATTAAGAAGGGGTTGATACACTGCTGATGGGAACAGATACGTTTTTTTAAAGATTATTTATTTATTTATTTATTTATTTGACAGAGAGAGAGAGAGCGAGAGAGAGTACAAGCAGGGGGAGCAGCAGACAGGGGGAGAAGCAGTCTCCCCGCTGAGCAGGAAGCCCGATGCGGGGCTCGATCCCAGAACCCTGGAATCATGACCCGAGCCCAAGGCAGATGCTTAACCAACTGAGCCACCCAGGCACCCCGGGAATGAGTACTTTTATAAATGTTTGGAACATTTCATAATAGGTTGCCACATAATTAACATATAATCAAGAACTGGCTCTGTGAGGAGGACCCATTACAATTTTTTTTCTAATAAAAAAGCCAGAAAATATTAGACCTTCAGCTAATAATTCAAACTTAATAATAACAAAGGGAAAGTCCTAAGAGTAAGGCATGAGGTCAAACCATGCATTCACACAAGACTCTTCTCAGCCTACTTCCTTTACTATAGACAGACTGCATATGCACTATAAATATGTCATATAATGTAAGATAGAATTCACAAATCACACTCTATAGAAGGTATTGGGAAAAGAGACCATTGGCTTTAGTATTGACTCAATCTCTGCCTATAAAGTACTGATTCCAACTTTTCTAAGTTGGAAAGGCTATTTATTTCCAACTTTTCTAAGTTGGAATACTTTATTTATTTTTTAAGATTTTATTTATTTACTTGACAGAGAGACAGTGAGAGAGGGAACACAAGCAGGGGGAGGGGAGAGGGAGAAGCAGGCTTCCCGTGGAGCAGGGAGCCCAATGCAGGGCTCGATCCCAGGACCCTGAGATCATGACCCAAGCCGAAGGCAGTTTCTTAACTGAGCCACCCAGGCGCCCCATAAGTTGGAATACTTTTTTTTTTTTTCTTTTTTTTTAAAGATGTATTTATTTATTTGACAGAGAGAGAGGCAGCGAGAGAGGGAACACAAGCAAGGGGAGTGTGAGAGGGAGAAGCAGGCTTCCCACGGAGCAGGGAGCCCGACGTGGGGCTCGATCCCAGGACCCCGGGATCACGACCTGAGCCGAAGGCAGACGCTTAACGACTGAGCCACCCAGGCGCCCCAGTTGGAATACTTTTAAAAGTCACTCAAATTTCTGAAAAGATCTGGTGTCATTGATTAAATTTTGATTAATAACAAAGAATACTTGTTTTAAGAAAACTAAAAACAAGTTTAGGGTGCCTGGGTGGCTCAGTCCTTAAGTGCCTGCCTTTGGCTCAGGTCATGATCTCAGGGTCCTGGGATCAAGTCCCACGTCGGGTTCCCTGCTCAGTGGGCAGTCTGCTGCTCCTTCTAGCCCTCCCCACTCCCACCCACTCTCTCTCTCTCATTCTCTCTCTCAGATAAATAAAAAATCTTAAAAAAATAAAAAGTTTAATGCCTTGAAATTTTGCACCTTATTAGGACAATTTAGATTATTACTCAGCACCAAAACTGAAATAGAAGATTGAAAAATATATTTAGCATATAAATAATATTTAGTTATACTAGTTATAATAATTATTATAACTAATATATTACATAATACTGTATATTATAATATATATCATACAACTAATATATTATATTAGTTATAATAATAGCTCATATTTAGTAAGTGCTTACAATGCCTGTGCTAAGCACAGGAAGGTTACAAAAAAGCAGTATAAGAAAATTCCTGTTTATATAAATTCAAGTTGGGGAAGGATACTGTATATAAACCACTTAGAAATTAGAAAATAAAATTGTGTAAAACTAACAAGTTAGGTAAGTTAGAGATTCAAGTGTACAAGAAGTATGGGCACTTATTCAGAAACCATGTATCTTTTAATTCCTTTTCTTATTGCTCTTATTACCTGTAGCAAAACAGTTATATTAAAAGAAAAGTAACATTTCCCCTTCAGTAAAATGTTAACTTTTTTATAAGCGCATAAAAGTATCTCTTTAATAGATTCTATTAATACAACTCATGCAGTTTGGACTGGGGAGAAATAGTTCTCTAGATTTTACTTCAGCCAGAAACTATTCATATCTTTTATCTAATGATACCTTATTTATCTGATATGCTATCTTTTGATCTCAGAAATGGTTTGCCCAAAGTGGAACACAGCTGAAAATATACTAATTGTTTTAAAGTAATATTTTGCCTTCAATGTCTCTTGGAGATAGAAACGCTATCTCTAAATGCACTGGACTCATTCAGCCACTAGTATTCCAAGGAGACAGGGTAGGTAAGATATTTATTAACAAAGAGAAAATATTCAAAAACCTACCCCAAAACCAGATTATAGGTTTAAGGACTATCAATCACTGGATAATATACCCTATCACTATAGCTAATGGAATGCTCTTCATACATTCCCATGTTTTAGAAAGACTAGATACATAATTAAGAGTACATGTCAAGACCACATAATACAGCGTTTCCAAATCACTGTGTTCTACCTGGGAAGTGAGGCAGAAGTAGGGATTAGAAACATAAAGAGAAAAATTGTTCAATTTTACATTTCTATCTTCTTATAATGTGAGGACTGTCCGCCAGATAATATAGTATACATTGTTAAAAATCCTTATGCTATATCTGACTAAAATGTTTTACTAGCTACTAGTCAGAAAAGTGAAACTTGTACATTAATTAGGTAGATAATTCTTAGCACTGACACATTTTCTTTGTATTTTCTTACCTTTCCTGAAGTCATAAACCTGCCAGTGATGTCAATGCCAACAAGTTCTGTGGATGTTTTCTCAGTGCTTGAAGAAGGTTCTGACTTAACTGAACTGATTTTCTTTCTTTGTTGTGATGGAATCTTAAAAAAAAAAGTATTAAGACTTAATTTTATGTGAAAGCTGACATATTTAAATTATATAATTTAAATTTTCATATATGAAATATACAACTGCCAAATGGTAAGACCCTAATGAGACATGTCTTTTGAAAACTAAAGAAGTGAGGAAAATGTGTTATGTTTGAACTGTTAGCTTAGGACTAGTAGCTCAAAGTCACAAATGTGTGAAAACAAGTGACCAGTATTTAAAAGAAACATCAGGTATATGGTTACCCAAATCTGTGAACAATGCAGTAATTGTATTTCTGTGTTAGTCTATCTAGGGTATTGACTTTATATGTTAAGATGCTGGGCCACTTGGAATAAGTTAACATCGATTAATAAAATTACCTTCTCAAGACCACTCAATTCCTTGTGCTTTTTCATCACACAATTCAAAATATCACAAACAATTTGGATTTTCCATTCTGCAAATCCACATTGGAGAAACTGCTTTTTTGTCAAGATTGGTTTATAATTAAATTGATCACGAAGAAGCTGTAAAGAGGGAATAGATCAAAATCCAAAATGATAAATGGCCACCTGCTCAGGAACGTAATAACATCTCTGAGAGGAGAAGGAGGATCATGCCAGTAGATTAAAGGCACTAAAGAGATTCATAGGAGTGGTGTGAGTCATGACCTGGTAGGAGAGGTATTCACGTAGAAAACAGCTAGGTAGGAAGTAGCAGAGAATAGATGGCTGTCTAAGGAGATGAAAAAATATAGCCAATGATCAAAAAGTTCAAACATCCTCATTGGTACTAGAAAAAATCCTTAACTTACTAGATAATAAAGAATACCATACCAGATGTCAGAAAACCATAATTTATTTCTTACATGACATGATTTATTAGATAAGTCAGTAGTCCTCTGAGTTTCAATATCTCATTTGTAAATGAGAGAAATAGTCTAACTAGACCAGCAATTTTCAAAGCCTATATTATAAAATCCTAGGATTTCTTAGAAGTGCTTCTTAGGTTTCCATGGAAGCTTGCTGGGGTTAGAGGCAAAGACAGGGAAGATTAAACAGACTCTATACACATAAAAGCTCCCATTTCATCAAATGTAATTCACTACCTAAAAAAAAACTGATTTGATAGATGGGTTTTACTATTTTAACAGTGAGAAAACCAGTGCTTGAGTAAAAATTAACGATAATCTGGAGGTATTCTTTAATCTTATGAGATGAAGTTCAGTATACACAGAGTACAAATGTAGATACTGGAGTAGATATAAGACATGGTCCCAGACCTCAAGGAACATAAAATCTCGAAGTTTTAGTTCCCTCTAATTAAATTAATCACAATTCTATAAACCACAAACTACTCAAAGTCACATTTCTAACTTCTGCCAACATGCCAAATTATACTGAAATTTGATATAAAAAGAGCAAATGGTAACCAATGACATTTTACCAACTGCCACTTATTAGATTATAAAACATAAAGGGAGCTTAAATTATCTTGATTATAATAGGGACTGCATCTAAATGAGAAATGCATATGAAAATACTGTCAACTATATGTGTTGCACATATATAAGGGGTTATTATAAAACATTACTCTTAAAAATCATCCAATGACTTCTGAAATTATTTCATAAATTCAAAAATACCTTATAGACAGTATCTATAAAGCGCAAGTCATTCTTCGCTATGAGCTCTATATTGGATTCCATCAGAAGTTCTGCTACATAAGGTGAATATGAGGTAAGGGAATAGCTAATGATGGGCAAGGATGCTGCTGTATCTCCCTTTACCAAACTGTTTGGGAGAAAAAGAAAAAGATATTTAATGAGCATAATTATACAAAGTTAGATAAGAAAGGCAATATAAAATATGATGTCAATAATTTTGTAAAGTAACACTCCAGCCAAATAATTAGGAGATAAAACCCTCTAGGTTCCATCCCCTACTCTAACTCAGTATAGCCAAATTACTATGAAATAAGTTTATTTTCTAAAACAGTTAGCTCTTTAGTAACAGTACAGTCTATTCACCACAGTATTTGAATTTCCAAAGCTTAGCCTTATTTGATCAGTCCATTTTCTCTAAACAAATGTACCACCTTATAGTGCTTGAGTACACTTTATGGTTTTGCAAACCCTTTTTATATTACCTCATTTGCTCTTTACAATAAACCTGTGAAGGTAAAATATCATGAATTCTATGTTACAGAGGGGAAAATAGGGCTGGAAAAGGCATCTACAGTAACTGGGCGTATCAGTTTGCAATCTTCCACTTGTATCAAGTTCAGTAGAAATCTGTGTCTTAGTAGAATATGCTAATTCCCCCAGTCTAGAAAGGTATCCCATTCTTTTCTGCCTGTTATTCACTCTTTTTTTTTTTTAAAGATTTTATTTATTTATTTGAGAGAGAGCACATGAGAGGGGGGAGGGTCAGAGGGAGAAGCAGACTCCCCGCCGTGCAGGGAGCCCGATGTGGGATTCGATCCAGGGACTCCAGGATCATGACCTGAGCCGAAGGCAGTCGCTTAACCGACTGAGCCACCCAGGCGCCCCTGTTATTCACTCTTATAAATTATTTGGCAAGGGACGCCTGGGTGGCTCAGTCAGTTAAGCGTCTGCCTTTGGCTCAGGTCATGATCCCAGGGTCCTGGGATCGAGTCCCACATCAGCTTCCCCACTCAGTGGGGAGCCTGCCGCTCCCCCTGTTTGTGCTCTCTCTCTGACAAATAAATAAAATCTTTAAAAAAAAAAAAGAACTCTCAAAATAAATAAATAAATAAACTGGCAACTCTCAAGCCTTCCAGGAAGCCATCCTCAATTTTCTGATCCACACTGATCTCTTACAGAATGAGTCTCAGGGCATTCAGTGTCTGGTGCCTCATGCTCTGTCCTGTACTGTTTTCTACTTGTCTACACATATGGACCTTATTTTCTCAATGTGAAGTACCTTCACTGATTCTCCCACAACAAAGCAAGGAGGTATTTGTTCAATTAGCCAGTTATACGTGTTCAACTGACATAAAAATGCACTTACAGAAAACATTTGTTTTCCACAAAATTCAAGACATACATAAATTTCCCCATCCTCACCCCAATTTTTTTTAAAAGGCAGAGAACAAGTATATAATGCTAGAATTACATTTTATTTAAGGACAAATATAAATTGTTTCTTCTATATTTATGGGTACAGTAATACTCTACCCAGTGAGAAAACTGCTCTGGCAACCTTGTCCATTAATTCAAAACAGGAAATGAAAACAATACTTTTGAACAGCAAAATCTGTCCATTTTATGCATTCTGACTAGAAGACAGCCGGGGTCTACATTTAATACCTCTTGTTTTAATTTAAAAATCTTGATTATCCAGTTTCTAGGGACTTTGATTAGAAATAGTAATAAAACAGATATTATAAACTGGCACACTGACACAAAAGGGAGATGCTGAAAAAAGGTTAAAAATGGATGAGAAATATAAGAATCAAAATATGTGTGGGGGGAGTATGTATGTGGGTGAGGGGGGTAACCTGAATAAGCAGCAGCAAGTAGTGTTACTTACTTCAATAGACCCTGCAGAGTGCTATGTTGTGAAATAGTCTGAAAATTACTGTTCTTAATGATCCTCTTCAGTCAGTTAGAAAATCAAATGTTTAGATTCCAAACTCAAAAGACAGGAGAATAATCGGTATATTTTCCAAGTATTCCTACCCAGAATGTATCTTAAAATGATGCTTCAAGTGGTAAGAAGAAAATGTGGCTCTTCAAACTGGTTAAGTCCCAGCAAGACAAGAAAGTAGAGATGTACCTGTTGTAAGCAAGCAGGATGATTGGTACCTGCTGTGGAGCGCCTTCTGATTCTCACACAGAAGGCCTGGCATCGGTTATTAGAGCTCAGGTTTCTCCCACGGTCCTCACTATCCTTTCATTTTGCCATCCCTTGGGGTTACAGATCTCCCTACAGTCCATCCACACGTATATGTAAAGCACATCCCTAGAACATCCACTCTTACATGTCATGCACATTATTCTAGGATTCTCTTTTTTTACTGTTTAACCAAGTTTTACTCTACTACTTGAACATATAGCTAATCTGGACTTGTCCCTTGATGCTTACTCATTGAATAAATGTCTAGTTAGCTACTAACATGTGCCAGGCTCAATTCTAGATGTGAGGATATTGCAATGAACAAAACAAAGTACCAGTCTTCAGCTTATATTCTAGTGGGGAATACTTTCAATGAATAATCCCAGGTAAGAAGAAAAAAAAATATTAAGGGATAGAAGATGAGAAGGGTACCATATTTAGATTAGCATGAATACAGAAGAAATGCATGTTGCTACATACTACAAAGCCAGTCAGTCCTATTTGGAAAGTGAAAACTACAGTGAAAGGTTCAAGTGGGGTCTATCAAATGAGTTAGCTTAATAACCATCTTTGCACATGGTGTAAGTTGTCATAAGAAGCCCATTAACCAGAATCTTCCACATCAAAAATACCATCTAACTGAATGTGAGAAGACAGCAAATTATATAATTAATGAGATCCATTGTACTTTAATGAGTTAAAAAGTTGTATAGAAACCATATCTTGTACAGATGTATATTGTGGTTCTACTTCTAAAAGGTGTTTTAAACCTCAAGTTAGAATTTTTCATTGATTCATACTTATAAAAACACTCCTGTAATTCCCTGCCTTCTAAAATATTTTAATCATTTCAAGGAAAATTTTAAAACAACCCAGGTAAAATTTGTCTCTATTTAGATACACCCCCAATGTTAAATCTTACCTCAAATAATTATCAAAAAGAAAACAAATAAGTTTGATACAGAGCTTACCCAACACAATCCACCTCTTGAGGATAATTTAGTGAGCGAAGCACTTGTTCTAGGTTCCGTAAGCTTCTTTTTAAGTCACCTGTTGCCATTATTTAACATTACATTCAGCTCCAGCTTTTGAAATAATCTAATTTTTCACCTAAAAATAAAAATCCATAAAACACTGGTTAAGTCTATTTCTGAATCTTTATTTTGTTCACATCTCTTACAGGCACTAAACATATTTATCTTATCTTAGCTATTTCTGTGCTAACTTATCTTCCCTACTGGTCCAGTACGATCGTCTATCTATAGTATATTCCCAAATATAAGATATGCTTTTTCCCCCAAATACTTCCCTTACAAAAAAAAAATGTTTGCCTTATGTTCATATTCTTACAATGTGTCTCATGATATTCTCCCAAATTGTTTATTCTGAACAAAGTACCATTTGGGAAGAGAAATCAACCTGAAATAATATCCATCAATGACTATTTTAGATGCTTATAATGGTTACATAATAAACTCAGTAAAAAAATGGAGACAAAGGAATTTATTACAGATGTAGTCATTACTTCCAGGGCTTTGACCTCATAGTTGCCAAAAAGATGCTTTGCTTAAAAAATAAAAACAGATGAGTTAAAAAAAATTTAGGATTTGGCTTGTAAAATATGGTGGATTAAGTGCATGTTATCTTTATTTCTTTTGTTTTAAACATCAGTAAAATGAAAGTAAATGATTAAAAACCATATATACTCACCAGGGCAAAATGAATTAGAGGGGATTCCACATGACAGGAGAAGTATCAACAAAAGTTTGGAAGATGGAAAGCAGATGAATAAGTGAAAACCAACCTAGCAGAGCAGAGACAGGCTAATTTTATCTGCCCATTTAAGAGGAAACAAACAGCAGCAAGATAAGTTCAGAAATGAGGGGCCCTTAATGCTTATGAAAGGATAAGGGGTAAGACCAAGGGGGCTGAAATAAGGATGATTATTCGAAAGTCCATGTAAGGAGCTACTAAACCCTAGATTTTTACTTTCCCTCCCCCCTCACCCCCTCCCACATATTTTGTTCAGCTAGGCAACTACCTCTCTGCATCCCCAGGTTTACCAATGAGTTTTTAGATAATATCAGAGCCCAATCAATAAATTTTTAAATAAGCTGTACATCATTAAAATTTAAAACTTCTTTTCTAAAAAGACACTGTTAAAAGAATGAAAAGATAGTTCACAGACTGGGAGAGAATATTTACAAAACACATTGAATAAAAGACTTGTTCCCAAAATAGACAAAGAACTCTAATAAAAGAAAAAAAACAAAAACAAAAACAAAAACCCAGCCAATTAAGAAATAGGCAAAACATCTGAACATTCATCTCACCAAAAAAGACATACAGATGACAACAATCATATAAGATGCTCAGTATTACATATCATTAGGTGATTGCAAATATAAAAAAAGAGAGAGAGATACCACTACAGATAATGGCTAGAATCCAAAAAACTGATTATACCAAATATATATGGGATATGGAACAACAGAAACTCTTACTTACTGCTGGAAGAAATGTAAATGGTATAATCATTTTGCAGGACAGTTTAGCAGATACAAAGCTAAACAGTCTTACCATACAATCAGCAATCATGCTAACAAGGTATGTACATATACTATCTTGCACACGAATGTTTATAGCAGCTCTATTCATATCGTCAAAAAGTGAAAGCAACCAAAATGTCCTTCAGTAGGTGAATGGATGAAAAAAATTGTGGTACATACATACAACAGGATATTTAGTCAGCAACAAGAAAATGAGCAGCAACAAAAAGACATGGATGGACCTTATTGCATCTTCCTAAGTGAAAGAAACCAGTCTGAAAAGGCTACATACTGTATGATTTTAATTATATGACATTCTGGAAAAAGCAAAACTGTAGTGACAGTGAAAACAACAGAGATCAGGGGTTAAACAAGGACTCAGAGGGAAGGAGAAGAGAGGGTTGAATAAGTAAATGTAGGGAAATCTTTGAGGGTAGTGAAAGTATTCTGTATGATACTGCAGTGGTAGATACATGACAGTATGCATTTGTCAAAACCCATAAAACTGGATAGCACAAAGAGAACCCTAAGGTATGCAACCTTTAAAAAACCCATTTAGAAGCTGGGAAACCCCAGGACAGAATGCAGACTGTGACAACAGAATCTAACTGTATTACCAGTGTGTGAAACAACCTCATAGAAGCGGATGGGTGGACAAGGTGCTAAGTAACTTTGTAAATGAGTGCAATATACTTGCATATAAACACTGTATCCTAGTTTATAAAGTTGTTTCCCAGGTACTTATGAATTAATTAATTCTGATACTTCTATGCATACACACTGGAATTGAACAATTAAGTAAACATATGGCAGAACAGAAGTTGAAGTTTCTTACTGCTAGAGTGGGAATTTATAGAAGAGTAAGGAGAGGAGACTAGAATGAGCCATGCCTGCCTAATCGATCAGAGTTAGAAAATTCCAGGATGAAGTCATGTTCAGCTTAATATAAATAAAGACAGTTATATACTGAAGGATTTCTAGATATGTGTATATAGACAGCTAGTATACATGTATTTCCTTTCTCTGCCAGCTGAAAGTGATTAAAAAAAACAACAACACCTCAGCAGTAAAGAGCACACCTCACATTCAGATCTTAGTGTGTATAATGTTCTCCAATAAAAGAAACCAGGACTCCCTGTAGAAATGGTTAAATTCTAAGACTGGAACAGAACATATACAAGATGAGCCTGATGTATTACATAGTTCCAGAAAGTGAGAAAGTACACACACAAACCAATCCCAAAGTGATGGGGTATGTCAATAGGACACAGAAGACAAATGAAACAGTTCCCAATGGTCAAAGGCAAAACTACCTGAACAACAAAATTAATTTAATACTATTGGATTATAATCCAAAGTATAAGCAAAACAAAAAATGAATTACTATGATTCAGTGTATTAACAAATAAAGGAGAAAATGTTATCATTTCAATACATTTCATAAAATTCAACATTCATTCGTAATATAATTCTTAGAACATTAGAAATAGAAGGGAACTGTGTACATTTGATGAAGGATATCTACAAAAAAAAAAAAAAAAACCTACTGCAAACATCATACTTCAAAATAACAGAAGCTTTGTTCCTGAGACTGGGAATGAATCTTGTTCCCTCATCATTTCTCTTCAACATTGTACTACAGGTCATAGACAGCACAAAAATGCAAGAAGAAATAAAAGGAATAAACACTAAAAAGGAAAAAATAAAATTGTCCTAATTCACAGATGACATAATTGTATATGAGTCCAAAAAAAATAAGTGAATTTAGCAAGGCTGCTGCTGGGTAGAAGGCCAGTACATAAAAATCAGTTGTATTTCTCTGTATCCCTCAAGTAATTATATAATTTTTAAAACAAACTTTCTATGTATAAACCAAGTAGTCTCAAAAGGATCATAAACATGTGAATAAATCTAGAAAAGATGTATAAGACCTCAAAACAAAAAACCCTAAAACTTTATTGAGATGTATTAAAGAAGCCCTAAATAGAAAAAGTATACAACTTGTTTAAGAATTGGAAGACTCAAAAAATTGATCCACAGATTCAATGAATTCCCCCTACCCTCCCCCAAAAAAAATCTCTCAAGGTTTTTGGGTTTTTTTTTTTGATGGAAATTGACAGGCTGATTCGAAAATGTATCCAGAAATGCAAAAGATAAAGGATAACTAACACAATCTTGATAAAAATCAAAATTGGAAGATTTAACCACTGGATATCAAGACTCATTATAAAGTTACATTTGGAATTAGTGAAAATATGTACAAATAGAACAATGGAACAGAAGAGTCCAGAAAAAGACCATGCATATATTGACGCTAGATTTATGACAAAGTTGACGCTGAGTAGCCCTGGAGAAAGGATGGTGTTTTTCAATAAATGGTACCATGTCAAATATCCAGATACAATAAATAAATCTTCACCCCTTGATGTAAATGGTACCTCACATCTTTTACCAAATTAATTCCAGGTTTATTGAAGACCTAAACATAAAATGTAAGACAACCAGGCTTGCTGGAGATCATAGAGGAGAATATCTTTGATCTTCAGGTAGAGAAAGATTTCTTACCTTATGACTGTTAAAATGAACCACCTTAAAATTAGCAACTCTGTTCATCAAAAGACACCTTCAAGAGAGTGGAAAGATAAGCCACTGAAAGAAAATGATGCTGTTGATCTATAAAACCAACAAAAAGATTCATATCTAGATTATGTAAAGAATTTCCTTCAAAGCAAAAAGAAAAGGAAAAACAATAGAAAACGGGAAAGAGACCTGAACAAGAACTTTACGGAAGAGTAAGCAAGTGAAAAGACATTCAATCTTATTTATCATTAGGAAATTCCAAAGTAAACCCAAAATGTGAAACTCACACAATGCTCTGGAAGGGTAAATTAGCACAATTACTTTAGAAAACTTTATGGCGTTATCTGCTAAAGCTGACATATAAAGGGCCTACGAAATAGGAATACAACTCCAGAGAATATATGTACGAAACAGAGTATGGTATGTACATGTGCACCAAAAGACAGGAACAATATTTGAGATTTTAAATAAAATAGTTCATTTTTTAAATTCCAAAGAAAATACCATGGCATTATATTTTTAAATGACTCATTGTATGGTGTAGGTCTTTTATTAAATTCTCAAGATTATTCCCCAAAAAGGTTCATATAATAAATACTGACAGGTAAATAAATGGTTAAGAATCTTTGCTAGAAAGAGCTAAAAGGCTACTAAACTATAAGTCTAGTCAATCAGTAAGGCAAAGCCCAATAACACACTTAAAAGAGATCTATTTGCAACTGTTCATGGACACCTCATAGAAGGAAAATATGTAACAATACCTTGAATAATGAATCCTCTGGGACCGAAGCTCCTTTAAAATGAAGTCATTGACATTAAAAACAAAACAGAACAATTCATAAATCAGGTAGAGTTAGTATAATCTTTTCCCCCAGTCAACATTCTAGTAGTTGCCCAGGATACAAAATAATTCCTTACACACTTTCTCTGTATTTATGCATAACTAGAGGTAATAAGGTCAGCAATTTGCAAAATCCTAAATTTAGTAGGTTTTCTATTTTAAGCCCCTAGCTACTGAATTCTGCTTCCCCCTCTCTTTAGGAACACAGTATCTTCCTGTTCCAAGACTCCTCTCCTTTAGCAACATGGTAAAGAACAGGTTATTGAGTATAATTTATATATTCAGGCACAGATTTTAGTATTTTTCCATTAATCAATTACTTCTAAATATTTACATTTTTAGGCAGAGGGAATTTCAGGTACTGCCAAATGGGAGATAACTAGAAAAAGAGGAAGTGATCCTGAAATCACGTTATACAAAATATTGGCCAAGAGAATAAGCCTTATTTAACATCTTTCAGGATGACTAGGGGAGAGATGGACATAGGGAAGCAGTAAGAAAGGACTTCCCAAGACCAGCCTTTACTTTCCTGGGAAAGATGAAGTGGGAACTAATCTGGTTGTAACTGCAAAAAAATGTATTCTTAGGTACTGCCACTGGCCAATGTAGTATTGTATTAAATTCCAGACCCACCTATCTTAATATGATTCTTCTAGGGTACCTTTTCCTCCTAAGACATTCTAAAACTTTAATATAAATTGTATCTCCCTCCACAAACTTTAATTCTTCCAAATGTATATTCCATGTTTCTAGTACATGTAATTTTGTTTTATTTAACACTTTATGGTATCTTTCCTTTCCCTGAAGTCCTGAAACATATATCAATGTCTCATATTATTTCTACCTCTGATAATGGACTTTCTGACAACAAAGTATGTCCTTGGAACACATCCTCTTCAGTATCAGCAGAATAAGTATTTTGAAGAAGAGTAAGATACAAGTACAGGTTGGATCTGTAGGTGAAGGAGATAATAAAACAGGATAGAAAAAATAAAGGGATAAATAAAAGTGAGAATTGTACAAAAAATGACAGCTACTGTTCCACATTTTCATGAAAGACTTTGCTAAATCTACTATAAAAGTGAAAAACACTAAGACATTAAAAGAAGACAATCTACAAGTTATGCACATTTTAGCACAGTACTTTAAGAAATGAAAAAATAACTTATATTTTAAAAATGATTAATGTTTTCACTTTTAACCCTTATCAAAAGAAATTAAGAGAAAGGAGTCATTACTCCGCTTGTAGCATAGTTTCAACCATTAAGATGGACTCAATACTGCTTCCTAGCATCCTCTCTGGAGTTCTCTCTGCAAGTCAGACCTGTTCAACTAAACTTATTGGGGGAGACGTAGTGAAAAAGGTATACAGTAGCAGTTTATGATTTTTTTTTTTTTTTGCAGTTTATGATTTTTAATCTAGCTCAATCTCATTGCGATTAGAGGTCTTAAAGGATGCCTCTGAATGGACTGCCATTGAACTGAGAGTGATTTTTCTTCAGAATGAAGCAAGTACACTGACTTTAATTATTACGGTCCATGGCTAAGAGTTTGTGACGTATCTTGCAACACTACATATTATTTAAAAACCGTGTATCAAAAATAGAGTAGATATGAGGTAAAATTAAGTTTATGAAATTTTCTCAAAAGATATTAGCGGAAATACTGCTCTAAGAGATAGGTAGAAAGGTCTGTAAAAGGGAAAACACAGAAAATTGGGGAGAAAAAGTGGGTACGGGACAAGAATAGAGCTCAGTAGGACTGCTGTGTTCACCTAAAACTGCTCACAAATACAAAATATTCGTGGATAATTTTAGAAAAATAGTCCTGTGTACCTATAATTTCGGAATCAAAATGCCAAGATTGATTTTTTTCGCAGCGAGGGGAAAAAAAAAAGTAAGTTGTCTAGAAGGTAGAGAAATACGGAAACCCAAGGAAAGGCAAGCAAGGAAAACTCACTACTTTCACCCCTTCCTTCTAGTCAGCGTTTCGAAGTAGGATCTTTCCTTAGCTCATAGGTTCCAACTGAAGGAATCAGTCTGTAACTTCCCAACCCTACCCCTAAACTGAGAGAATTCGCTGCCACGGTTCTTCTTATTTCGCTGTTTATCATAAGGCTGTACCAGCTGGGTATATAGGCAAGGCAGTATCTAGGACTCCCCTCCCTCCATTTGATTTGAAAGGATGAAAAGGCAGACCTGGTCATCCGCTCCCGCCCGTGGTCTCGGTAAGGGCGGCGGGGAGAGGCTTCCCCTGCTTAATCTGGGGCGCACTCTCACCAGCCTCCCCAGCAGCCGCCAAGCAAAGAAGAGGGCCCCGAAGGCCTCTGGCCCCGCACAGCAGGGAGAGGGGGAGGCAGCATATGCGACCAGAGATAGCCACCGGGACCCAGCCTTCAGCAGCGAGTCACTGCGACCGGACGCTTGCACCTGGGCGCACCCCCCGAGTCGACCGTTTGTATTTAAACAGCGGGTCGATGCCCGCCACGCGCCGCGGGAAGACCTTACAAGCTGCCGGTTCCTCGGTGCTTCACGATTCCTCGCTGCAGATTCCACACGACGTTTGCCCAGACCACTGTGGAGACTGACTCTGCGGAGAGGTTTTTCAACGGCCTGTCCGATCCCAAGTTGCAGAATAAAAGTTTGTCTAGTGTTGATGTTTAGCGTGGCTCGGGCTGCTATGTGAGAAACAGGGAATCTTAGCGAATCGTAAACACCGGAAATAAAAATGCTTCTTCTCTAAGGCTTAGAACCCTAACGTCACTTCCGGCAACAATAGGAAACGTCAAAAGTCGGACAGTCGGCAGCTCTGGCTGCTGCAGCTTGACGTGCGCTCAGTTCAGAGGGATCCTGTGCTGCTTCTGGTATTCTCACTGCTGATACCTCCACCGGCGTGAACAAGTAAAAGTTTGAACCGGCTTCTCCATGGCCTGGGCACCAGTTCCTGGCTGAGCCTTTTTTTTTTTTTTTACTAAAAGCCCCCGCCCAGAGGCCGATTCGTCGCGGCGGCGGTGGGGATCGCAGGTCGCTCAGGTACAAGAGATTTCAGAGCTCTTGCCTCTTTTCTCTGCATACCCTTTTCTTCTCGAAAATAAAGACAACCCGTGTTTGCCAGTTGGCAGAAACTTGCCAACCAGCAAGACTTTGGGGCCAATGGCAGTGCAGAGCACTTTGAGTGACAGCTGTAATGGCTTGTTAAAATGTGGAGTCTGTATCAGGAGGCGGGAGTAGGTGTGTTCCTTGTGTTTCTAGGCCATGGAGTATATAGGTTAACTTGGGGACCCCAGGTGGTGTCCTAGCCTCATTATGGAATAAAGACGAGAAATGGCAAAGATTACTCTTTTCTAGCCCAAGTGTTGCTTTTCAAGTAGAGTGTTTTCTTGATGCATAGGCAGTTTTCAGTTCTTTACTTACTTTTCAGTAATATGAATGCAAACACTTTTACTTAAGGACATGATGGCTTTGCCAGGTGCTTCAGCCATCAGACTTGTGTTAGAAATTTGGCAAATTCTTAATTTGTCTCTTGTTTGTTTCTTTGTAACTGGTCTCTGCTCTCTTCTATGTCGGGTGTTCCAATTAAATATTAGATGAAGTTACATAAATTCGAATCCTCATTGAAATTTCTTGTTTTTATTTTTAGGTTCTGTATATAGTTAGTAATTTAATAACTGAGTCTACTTATTTTAACAAATTGAATTTTTATTTTCAAGGATCCTAGATGTTTCTCTCCAAATCAGTATATGATGATCTTTATTATTGCAAAGTGAAGCTAATTTATGTTTTTCATTTCTGCTTTCCTTGTCCTTTTAATATTTGGAGTATGGTAACCATATTTATGAGATAGGAGGGGTTTTACCCCCTAAGAAAATGGCTTACAAAATTGAGCAGATCTGATAATGAAGGAAAAATTTTATTCTCTTTTTCCAGTTGAGTAGGAAACTTCCCATTTTTAGCCAGTTAATTTGATAATTTGTCTGAGGTACTGTGTTAGTTATCAATTGCTGGGTAACAAATTAATCCAAAATTTAGCAGCTTAAACCAACAAATGTTTATTATCTCACAGTTTCTGTGGGTCAGAAATTTGGTTACAGCTTAGCAAAGAGCCTCTGACCCAAGGTCTTTCATGAGTTTGTAGTCAAGCTACAGTTGGGGGCTGTGATCTCATCTGAAGGCTTCACTGAGGGGTAGGAGGATCTGCTTCCAAATACACTCATATGGTGGTTGGTAGGCCTAGGTTCTCCACACATGGGCTTTTCACACAGTGTGGTAGCTGCTTTCCCATAGGGTGAGCAATAGAGAGTACCCAAGACTGCCCATAGTCTCTTATAACCTAATCTCAGAAGTGGTATCTCACCACTACTGCCATTGTATTAGAAGTGAGTAGTAAATCCAACCAAGAAGTCTTGGGGGCTATCCTCTAGACTGCCTAACCCAGCTTGGCTGATAACTTTTAAGAGTTACTAGATAGGAATAACTGATCAAAAATGCATCAAAGAGAAATGTAGTCAGACAAGAAGCAATGCCAACTTGTAAAGAAATAAGTTTGTACAAGCATTATCTCTCCTGGAAAAAAGTTTTTGTTTTTTGTCTTTTTTTCCCCCTGCTAATTATCTGAAGAGGGGTTTACTATTTTCCTTGGAAATTATGCCTCATGAGGGATTATGTGCATGAGAGGAATGTTTGTATTTTTAGGGTCTACATGAGCAAAGCATATCACAAGTGGAGATTGTGTATTCCTTACCCATTGCCATTTTATAAGGTTGACACTGTACCAAAATTAACATGAGCAAAGATAGCTCTTAAGGAGGAAGGAGGTTAGAAAAGCTAGAGATAATGCTTTTCTGGTATAGAAAGAATGCAAGTCAGTGGCAGTCTTTATGTTGGTGTGAGATCAAGTAAGGATGGAAGAGGTATATCTTAGAATAGACGTGTTTTTCATGTCTGTTTTCATCATTATTCTTAGGTGGCACGTACCACCTTAAATCAGCATTCCCTGGCTGTCCATCATCAGCATAGCTTTTGTCAGGGAATCACATAACCTTACAAACTAAAGGTACAGGCTTTCAGGGCTTGTTGTGACACTATTTTTGCTGTGATCTACAGTAAAACTGCATATGCTTCTTCCAGGTTTGAAAGATGTTGTAACCTTACCTGTTAGTAAAGTATTATTCAGGTTTATCTTTTATAACTTGTGCTTAACACCAGCCTGCATGTGTCAATTCTCAAATTATAAGTTTGGCTTTTAAATTGAGATTCCCTGTCAGGTTTACATATTTCATTTATAGGTTACAGCCAGTTAACGAATGTGATTTTGGGCCTTTATATAGTTGCAAAATTTTAAACAGATGCTTGAGAAAATAACACAGTTGAAACACTTCCATCCACAATACCTTATGATAATAACTGCTAAATAAGCTAAAACACACATTATAATTTATTATATATGATCAGTTTAATAGGGAATTTTTGTGTTTACTGTGCTTTTGTGTAGATTAAAAGACATTTTCCTCTTTTCACAATATAAAACCATTGATTTACTTAGAGATTATCTTCTTTGATCACAGTGCATTGAAGTTAGTCATTCAAACTTATGATTTTAGTTTACTACTTATCCAAGTGCTATATACAACTGTTTTTTCTACATTTTGATTCAGATTTGGAAACGGAGGTTAATCCTTTTTCTGGCCTGTGATTAATGCATCAGAATCATTAATACTGAAGTCTGTGAAACATACATCTAACTCATTGCTTTCTCATTGAATTATTTTACTATTTTAAAACAACTTTAATGAAATATATCTACTTCTAGGAATTTGTATTCCCTGTGTCTTTTTTTCTCATTTTGTTTTTCTGACAAATTTATTGGTATATATTCTATAATAAAACTAAAACATCCTGACTTGAATAAGTTTACATTGTATTTGGGACAAATACTTTAGTGACACAGAGATGATAAAAGTTATCTGTGGTTTCAAGTTTAGGAATTAGGTTTAGTCATGAACATAGGGAAAAAGAGACAGAAAGAACAGATGCTTATACACACACATACACACACATACACCCCTCCATCACCTCTTCATTTTATTTATTTATTTTTAGGATTTTTTTTTCTCATTTAATTTTTATAGAATCATAGAACTTTACAGTTAAAAGAGACCTTAGGGGAGGCGCCTGGGTGGCTCAGTCGTTAAGCGTCTGCCTTCGGCTCAGGTCATGATCCCAGGGTCCTGGGATCGAGCCCCGCATCAGGCTCTCTGCTCAGCGGGAAGCCTGCTTCTCCCTCTCCCACTCCCCCTGCTTGTGTTCCTGCTCTCGCTCTCTCTCTCTCTGTCAAATAAATAAATAAAATCTTTAAAAAAAAAAAAAGAGAGACCTTAGTGATTGATTGTTAGGTTCAAAACCCTTGTTTTACAGGTGAGGAAACCGAGACATAGAAATTTAAGTGACTTTTTCAATACAGTTAATAAAGAGAAGGAACCTGAATCAAATCTAGGTTTTGTGTCTGTCTCTTTTCATTACTAGATATTTTCTCATCTCATTTCTGACTTTCCTTATATTCAGGCCTCCCTCAATATTTTAATATCTTGTTTTATTTGTCTAAAAGCTATTCAGTGAGAATTATAGTTTTTGTTTTGCTTTGTTTTTTAATTCCTCAACTCTCATAGGGATGGCCATTTTCTTTAGTGAGCATGGAGTGTGGTGTGCCCCAAGGAGGTGGGTTGAGATACGCTGCTGTGGCAGTTGTTGATTACCAGGAGTTTGAGTAAATAGTGCAATTAAGTAAGAACCAGTGTAAGTAACAATAATGCTGGTAAGAAGTATAATCGTTTTTACTTTAAAAGTTAAAGCAGGTGAGAAGTATGATAAATTTATTTAAAGATTAAAACAGTGGGGGCATTTGTTGCAAAACAAGCCCCCGCAAAATAAATAAGACTAAAATTCTCAGCTTATTTGATTACATTTAAATGACACATTTTAATTTTTGCATTTGTTTAAATTCCATTTGGTAACACTCATTATAGAATCAAATTAAAGAACTGGAAAAAAACTTCAGAAAGTAATATTGTAAATCTTTTTGAATTAAAAAAAAAATGTACAAATGGTATGCTTTTTAGTAACACAAACTGTTCTTGCAGGACCAGATCTTTAAATTTAATGAGTGGGTTTTTTTTTTTTTATGTGTTTAATGTACCTTGTGACCTCTTAGTACTTAGCTATTTCCCTTTTCTCCTTAGAAAGACCTCCTTGTGGGCTTACCCTTCCTTCTTTCTCTACAATTGTTGCCATTCAGTTTTAGGGGTGTGATTGGTTATCATGTTTTTTTCTTTTCCCTTCTTTCCTCTTTTTTTAAATTTCTCCACCTAGTGTGTTCTAAACTACTTTGGTGGTCTATTCTTTTGGAAGTAGAGAAATAAATGCTGGACTGCCCATTTGATTCTAAATGTATTGTGGAAAATATTTTCTCACAGAATTTCTCATGTTCTTATGTCACTGAGTAATATCACATTATTTAAAGATTTTTAGAACCTAAAATAATCAATCTAGTTGTTACTTTCTAATTGAAAAATATTGAAAATCTCTAAAAAGATAAAAGTAAGTGAATTTTCTTATCTTTAAGTCTTAATAAAATTAGCATTTTAGACATAACACTTCTGGCACACATTTTAGATCTTTATCTGAGATAAGAAATTTCTTATTTCTAAATTCCACTCTTCAGATGTTTAGGAATTACTGAAGAAAACTAACTTTTTGTAATGAGTTATTTTAATTAGATAATTATTTGCCAGTCCTCCCATACCAGTGATTTAACAGTGTTTGCTCAGGAAGAGACTTACGGAAGTGGTTTGCTTCAAACAAAAGTATTTAAACAAGAATGCTTTTTTGATCCCTCAGACTCATTTCTATTTTTCCCATCTTCCAAGTGTATTTTCTACTTAAGCGGTATGTAAACCGTTCTTTATTACGTAGAGTCATCTCCACAGCATGTGCTCTTTGAATGCTTGGTGCCATGGAATTACTAAAAGCACTAGTTC